CATTCTGCACCGACATCCCAGTGTCATTTCTGCCACAACCAAGCCACATACAAGGTAAGTACTTTTCTTCCAGCACATAATACAGCAGACAAAAATAAAGTCAAACACAAATTGAGCTTTCTCTGATTTCACTGCATCACCTCATGAAAGCAGATTATTAACTAATGCTTGTGTTTGAGACCCATTCCTTCATGCAACTTTCATTACTGAATCTTCAACAAAGAACTCATGACCTTTTAAAAAAGTCTTTGTTTTTACCAAAATTGCAAGTAGACGCTCCTGAGTCACCTGCCTTTATCCCCTTGACATTGCTAGGAGTTACCCATTCCAGCCTCTCTTTCTGACCTTCTCCCTCTTATTTGCCAGTAAGTGGCAGGTTGCCCTGGGTCTTGGCTTTGAGCACTGCACCGGTGCAACTGTTTTCTCCATAGTGACCAAGAAAATGATATGCAGTTATTTCTCTTTACCTGTTTTTTATGGACCAAAAATAATTAACTTGCCTTCCACTTTGAAAGACTATCCCCGCAGCACCTTAGCAGCATTAAGAAATTGCAGAAGCACTAACACTCAGAACAAAAAAAAAGACCCGAAGCTCAAAAAACCTGAGTGCCAAAACACTCTCCGTGTCGGGTAAGCAGAAACTCGAATCCTTGCTTCAACAGGAAGAGAATGCCCCTCTCCTGCCACTCAGAGGACCTGACCCAAAACTCAGCCAAACTGTGCTCTGTTATAGGTGCCTCAGTTTATTATTTTTAAAGTTGAACCCGAGTTTTTGTTTTTCAGCTTCCTTCATTTATACCAGAATATTACGGTAAGATAAGCTCCACTGTGCGGTAGGCACACTTGTCTTAAAAGTAGTGTAGTGAGCACCTTTGCTAGATTGTTTGTCTTGCAGTTGGTGATTGCCTCATGAACTGAAGTGGCAGGTGAGTGGGCAGAGAGAAAATTGCTTGTTTAAGAGCAGCCCTGACAACACTGCTCTGCTGTGATTCACAAGGGTGAATGCCACAGGGACTCTGCAGATGTAAGGCACAGGGTTACAAGGTAAAGCTGCCTATGCTAGAACAAGCTCTGCTGCGTAGTGTTAAAGTATAATACGGAACTCTTCACACCTTAAGTTCTCATGGGTGTTTTCAAAAAGTTCACTGTAATGTAAATATATACTTATAATAACTTTGTAGAACATCACAGA